GATTACTTAATTATAGCATTTTAATTAGGTCTGGACTAAAGGGAGACTCTGGGAATAGGATGTCAGAGACGGCTAAAAGAAAAGAAGGGAAGAATGGCTAAAAAATTGTCAATTAAATGGATGTACTTTTTTTTTCTGGGAGAGCCAGTTGTTAAACATTTTCTGTATACCATGAAGAAGGATCATTCTTTGCTACTCAAATTTCTGTAGAGCTGAGAGCATCCTTGGAGGTGGACACTCTCAGGTCAAAAACTGGGAACATTTTAGCCATCTACTGTATTTATGGAAAATCTAATACTCCAAGACATGGAGATTCAAGTGAATTTTTTTTAAAAAGCATTCCCATTAGAAAAAAAGATTTAATGAAAGAAATGGTACTCTCTTGTCCCTCATTGACTATGCTGTTAGACTGAATACTGAAGAGAAAGTTAAAGTAATATGAGATATAAGCCTATAATTAACCTTCAAAAGCGCATTCTTTCTAGTCTGCAAAGAGATGATTTCAGGCCCGTCCTCCAGATCCTGCCAAGGCACAAGTCAGGAATAATCAGGCTTCTGTAATAATACATCAGCCCTAGATCTGACAGATAGATAATATGCTCTCCAGGTGTCAGGGCCTGGTAGGGCTTAAAGTGTTGCTTTCCAGTAATCTCATGTTTGCCCTTGGCATGAGATTATTATTCTATTAGTCCTTTCCTGAAAGTGGTGGGAAAGGACAATTTCTGGTCCCTATTAAGTTGGAAGGCGATGACTAAAGAGATGGATCTTCTGTTTTCCATTAAAAGACTCTTTATCATTGTGCTAGTTAAAGCTTCCTCATTGCCTTGGATACTACCAGGTGGTGTGGGCACACAGTACTACAGCTTCAGAGATGTTAGAATAACCCATCCTTTCTTGGAGAGCTTGACATGTCTTCAAGAGAAAGGTAGAATAAGGGATCCAAACATATTTCCTATAATTATCGTGTGGCCTTGGATTTGTATGCTGTATGAGGGCTTAACTTTATGCTCTAGCACTCACTTAGAGAAGTGTTATGTGGTGGAGCTCACTCCACACTCTCCTTGCTACTTGTGTGACCGTGGACAAATTGATTAACCTATCTGGGCTTTATTCTTTTCATATGTAAAGTGAGGAGTTGTTCTGGATCAGAGATTCTTAATCTTTCTGTGTCACGGACTCCTTTTGCAATCTGGTGACATTTATGGACCCTTTTTCACATTAATGTTTCTAAGTGTATAAAGTAAAATACATAGGATTATAAGAGAAATTGATTCTGTTGAAATAGTTAAAAAAACAAGTTCTTGAACTTCAGTCTAAGTTAATTCAATAATCAATAAGAAACCTTAGGCTTCCTCTGGGACCACTAGATGGCACAGTGGATATAGTACTGGGCTTGGAATCAAAAAGACCCATGTTTCTGAGTTCAAATCCAGCCTAGGACATTTACTAGCTGTGTGACCCTGGGCAAGTCAGTTTTCCCCAGTTTCCTTCATCTGTAAAACGATCTGGAGAAGGAAATGGCAAACCACTCCAGTATCATTGTCAAGAAAAGCCCAAATGGGGTCACAAAGAATAAGACACAACTGAAACAACTCAACAATAACAATAACAAAAGCCTTTATGGCCTAGAAGATCTTTCACATTCCTTCCAACTCTAAACTTTGTATGTAATTTCTACTCCCTCCCTTTTTTAATTTTTTTTTTTAGTAATTGACTATTTCTTCAACAACTTACTTCCCCTGTCTAGGGACAATGGAAAGAGCATTGAATCTGGGGCCAGAGGGACTCGAAATCCTGCCTCTGACTCTGTAACCTTGGACAAGTCATTGGGATCAGCCTCCTTTGGAAAATGAATCAGTTGGATGAGCTAGAATCTGAAGTCCTTTCCAGCTCAAGATCAATGATCCCCTTCTACAATGCAAAGGGGTCAGACTAGATTGTTTTCTAAGGGTCCCTTCTAGTCTTAACATTTTATTTTTTCTAGGTTCCTTTTAGGTCCCTTTTGGCTCTAATATTCAATGTTCTAAGCATGGCTCCAGGTTGACATTCTGTGTTCTAAGATTTCTTCTACCTTTGACTTTTATATATTCCTTTGAGCTACAGCAACATTAATAATTATAGACCTTTATATATTGGCAAAGTGCTTTATGCAAATTATCTCATTTGCCTCCTTATAGCAATTCCATTAGGTAGATGCCATAGGCATTATTGTCCTTGTGTTCAGATGAGGAAATTGAGGCTCATGGGCTAAATGATTTGCCCAGGGTCACACAGCTAGCAACACAGATCCTTCATTACTTTAAATATCCCATGCTTTCTATTATATCACATCCCTCCTTCACTACTGATGCTCTAAGGTTCTTTCCAGCTCTGGCATTCTGTATTTTAAGACATTTTCTAGCTCTAGATTTTCTATATGCTATGGCATATAGAGAGGCAGCATGACATAGTGGGTAGAACCCTGAAGATCTGACTTCAAGCTCTTCCTCAGACACTAGCTGCATTATTCTGGTCAAGGCAGTCAACCTTTACAATCCTCAATTTACATATCTGTTCAATTAGAGGGTTGGATTAAATAACCTCTAAGGTTCCTTCTAGTTCTAAATTAATGATCTTATGGTCCCTCTGGGCTCTAACATTGTATGCTATAAGGCCTTTTCTATAGCGTTCTATAATCTATGTTCTAAGATTCTTTCCAGCTCTTAGATATCATGCTCTGGGGTTACTTTGGGCACAAATAGTCCAAGATATCTATCAGATCTTAAAGTCTATTGCCTAATATTCTATGCTGTAAGGCATTGATGTCAAACGTGAGGCTGCCCACAACATTCCCAAGAGCAGCCCAAACCAGATTAAAATAAATTATTTTAATTAATTTAATTCTATCTTTTTATTTTAATTAATTTAATTAAAAAATAAACAAAACTATAATAGAACATAGATAATGTTAATATGTGATTTTCTAAGTCTTAATATAGGGATTCTTATGTATGGTTCACTTTTTTGAGTTTAATACCAATGATTTAAGGTTTCTTTGACCCCTAGTGTTCTTTGATTCTACTAGCCAGTATGCCTGGGGGCAGGGAAAGTGGAGGATTCTGTTGGGACATAAATCCTTTCACTGCATATTCGGCTTCTGCTTTTTGTGGTTTTCCTGTAATGATGGCCCATCACATTTCATCATCTTCTTTTTTCTTTTTGGTATGAACAAAAACTCCTACCTCAGTTGGTGTGCTTGATATTTGCTGTTTCTGAGTATTGTGTGGGCAGAAAATTTACATCAATGTGAAGGTTGAGGGTTCCCTAGAGGGATTTAGGTCCATCCCCTGGCATTCCCAATGACGATTTTCTGCTTTGAAAAGAGCCTGGCAAGGTCCAGTAATGAACTCACCATAGTGGGCTCTACTGAGTGGTAAATCCCCTCTTTTCTGAGGCTTTGCAAATAGGACACTTTCTTGCATAAGCTTTTCTTGGATAAAACTATAGTAGATGAAAGATGTGCTTTTATTTTTCTCTGGATTGTTCTTTGGCTTTTTTCCTCTGTTAGTACACAGAGAAAGCCTCCTTGGGGCTTAATGTTAAAGTGGGATACCTACTCATCTATGTGTCAGGGGATTTCTTGGGCCAAGAATTGGCTATAAAACACAGAAAGCTATGGGGCAAAAAAACAAATAGAATTTCAATCACCTGGCAGAAACACAGAGTTGGCATAATGAGAAGAGGACTGATCCAGGAATAAGGAGAGCTAGGTGTGAGTCTCCAGCACTGTTATTAATGTACTTGATGAAGTCATGTTTAGCTTTGTTAGTTTTGTTTTTTAATTTGTAAAATGAGGTTAACAGTATTTCCCTACCTATCTCAAATGGTTGTTGTGAGGATAGAATGAAATTACAGATATAACGTACTAAATTAATGTAACCTGTTACTATTTTTATCTTTCTTTTGCAAAGGAGAAGCAGATTTGCCCTTGTGTTATTGAATTTGTATTCTGGAAGAACTGCTATATTAGACATGATAAATTTGCATTGACTACTTCAAGGGGCTTCTGGACACTGGTAGAGAAATAGCTTCTTTAATATAAAAGAGTGTCTGGACTAAGGCAACATTACTCAAATCGCTCTCTGGCTAGTGGGCCCTGTAATCTTAATACCTTTGGCAGAACAATGAAGCTGGTGAGATTTGATGTTGGCATTTTCTCCTATCTCCCACCTCTGGTTCTTGACCCCTCTCTCCGGAGTGCCCTATCACAATGTTCCACCAGGACCTGCTCTCCTAGTCGCTATGTTCTACCTCCCCTTACCCCCCCCACCCCACCAAATTTTAGTTGGTCTCTGTCTCCATCTTGTATATTTGTAGTTATTTATGTATTCTCTAATCTTTTAGAATTCAAGCTTCTTGCAAGAAGGGACCATGTTCTTGCATTTCCTTATATCCTTTGCCCTTGGTATATACTAAGAGCTTAATAAATGCTTTAGTAACTGACTATCTGTCACTTTCTTAGAACCTTGATCTTGCTTTGAAAAGCTAATAACTTGCTATCAGATAAAGATCCATTCTAAGGAGCTAATGACGAGTAGTATTTGTGTTTTAACAGTTGGTATATGGAGATCTTATCTTAAAACCCAGAATATCAGAAATGGAAAGAGACTTATAGATGATCTAACCCACCTCTCTCATTTTACAGCAGAGAAAACTGAGGCCCAGAGAGCTAAAGTGACTTCCATATGGTTTCATGGTTAGTAAGTGGCAAAATGAGGACTCAAACATCTATTTTCTGGTTCTAGGTCCAGTCTTTTCACTAGAAACAGCTATTAGTGGGAGCTGTCTTTCTTTGGTTCCTCAAGTCCCACCCCAAGCATAGAAGGTCAGCCCTCTGACCAACCCATACCAGGATGTGGGTTTGTTGAGGACTTTCACTTTTTCTCTTCTGACAGTTAAGCAACAAAGTTTTATAACAAGTCAAGCAACTGAAGCATTCATGATTAATTTCAAAGTCTTACCTCCTATAAGGGGGAACTTCTCAGGTGGCTGCGGGATGGGTTCCTGAAGGAAGAAAAGAAGCCAGGAATGAAGGATGCAATTCAAACTTAATATTACACGCTTCCTTTAAAGTACTGTATCTTGCTTCAAATGTGCTTTCTCCTCCTGATGTGTGTGCTTTAATAGGAATACCCTCATGCTTATGGACAACCAGGAGGTTTCAGACTGATCAAGTCCTTTTATGTCAGGCTGTCTTATTTGGCCTCCACTAACCTCCTTCACTGATGCCTTGTGTTTTGGAGATGACTGACTGTGAGGTCAAAGATGCTGAGTTAATAGGACAGAAGCTCTGATGTGTTGGCAAGGATCTGAATGTCAGCAGAGTTGTCGTGAGCAATTTTGGGACCTAGACCAGGCAGTAGAAAATGTCCCCTGCACCTGCAATGGCCTCAAATGATTTTGTAATTCATAGTGTAAAGATATTACAAGAAATAATTAAGACAAATTTAGTTGAGCAAGAAAGGTGACCCCCCCAGACAGTGGTCTCGTAACAGATACTTTAGCATACTAAGCCACAGGGACAAAGTCCAGTTCTTCATAATGACAGGAAACCTCCAGCATCAACCCCTTATGGGAGTCCTAAGGATACTAAACCTTGGATCTCTGGGGTAGATAGGACTGAGTCGAACAGAGAAGGAGCTCACCTGGGGTGTGGCTGCTGACAGAGTATGTGTGTGTAGACTCTACACTGTAGAGAGTAAGTGGACCATTTGGTACCTTCCAATTTTACTTGCTTATTCTTGCTAACTAGATAATAAGCTCAGTTTTTTCCCTATGTAGTGGAATTAATATCAGTGCTATCAGAATGAAAATACAAAACATTTAAAACTGGCACAATCTTTTAAAATTATTATTTTAAGTTTTGTCCTCTTCAAAATTTGGTGAAACCAAGCCCCAGTCACCAATGCATATAGACCCAAGGATGAGCTGTGCATCTGTTCTGAGGATCAGTACAGTTGGGTTCAAGGACTCTTGCCACTAGCAAGGCAGCCTGATTAGATTATGGATTTTTTTAACCTTGTCAACTCACAGAATTCAGAAGAATTCACAGAATCACAAAAACTCAGAGTTGGATGGAATCTCAGAGGCTTTGCAGTCTAATCCTTACCTAAATGGGAATCTCTTCTTTAAAATCCCCAAAGGGGCATCTAGCATCTTTTAGAAGACCTCTGATTTAGAGAAACTCACTATAGTTCATTCTGCTTTTGGATAGCAAGCACCCAGATTCTCACTCTGACACCTTGAAAGATCCAGTTTTTGATAAATGTGGGTACTCCTGCTAATAATGCAGAGTGTGACTTAGCAAGGACATTGACAAACTGGAGGATGGCCAGAGAATTTTTTTTTCCTTGCTTCAAGCTTAAATCAGCCACTGTACAACTCAAGTCCTTGTTCAGTATTTAGTTCTGCCATATGGAACCAAGTAGAATTAATAGAATTTCTCTTTGCCCTGATAGCCCTTCAAATACCAAAAGACAATTATCACTGTACTGTTCACCAATCTCTACCCTTGCCACCAAAGCATTATTTTCTTTTCCTTTGATACTTAACAACCTGTATAGCTTTGGGCAAATCACTTTACCTCCCTAGTCTCAGTTTCCTCATATGCAAAATGAAGATGTTGGGCTCTATGGTCTCTAAGGTCACTTTCCAGCCCTAAATCTATTAATCTCTGCACACAAAATATCCCCAGGTCCTTCAGCTAGTCCCCACATAGCATGACCTTCAGTTTCATAGGATCATAGATATGGAACTGGAAGGGACCTTAGTGAGTTTCCTTATTGTCCTAGTCACTTTCCTCTGGCCATGTTCCAATTGGTCACTGTCTTTACTGAGTCATGGTCTTTATTAGTGGAGGGAAGTAATCACATGAGTCAAAACCTAAAACACATCAAATTGAAAATCCCATCTGTGCTTCCTGTATGAGATTCATTAATTAGAGATATAAAACCTTTCTTGTGGCTGAATTAAGCACAGCTTGCCATCAACAAGAAGGGATAATTCTTGGTAAGGGAAAGTTTGGGATTTAGAATCTTAAGTTGTCAAACACTCCTAGTTCTTGAAAGGAAATGAGGCAAAGAGATACCAGATGGTGTCTCCTGAGAGGGAGAATCATTTGGGAAAAGAGGATTTGCATAGAATTTGACTTTAGCTCTCTTGCTGCCCCTCACTGTGCCAATTAGTCACTCCCTGCCCATGATGGTATCTAAATTTCAGTTCAGGAATGACTAAAATTTCAGTTCAGGAATGACTAGAAAAGATTAAAGTAAGCCACTGTCTTCAAGTATTTGAAGGGCTGTCCTATGGAAGAAGGGGCTGATTTGTTCCTCATAGTTCTAATAGGTAGAACCAGTACCAATAGGCAGCAAGTTATAAGTCCACCATATGAAAGGATGATCTTTCTAAAAAAAAATCAAAGATTTCCTGTAATGCAATGGACTGCCTCATAAAGTAGCAAGCTTCCTGTCCTAATGGTGTGGAAATGAAAAACTTTGAAAGGCTTAAAAATTCTTATCAATGCAATGGCCAACCATGATTCCTGAGGACCGATAGTGAAGAATGTTACCTATCTTCTGACAGAAAGGTGATGGCCTAAATATGTAGAGTAAGACACACTTTTTTTTTGGACATGGCCAGTAGAGGATTTCTTTGCTTGAATATGCATATTTGATATAGTGTTTTGTTTTTGTTTTCCTTTTTTTTTTTCAAATGAGGGGGCCTAGGAAGGAGATAAAAAAATGCTTGTTAATTAAAAAAAAATACAAGAAAGTCTTCTAGCAGATATTGGATGACCTGAGGATGAAGGTAAATTTGCAGGACAGCCTCTTCTAACTCTGAGGCTATGATTTCATGAGTCCTTCTGCTTTCTACACCTCAGTCTCCTCATCCATGAAACATAGGCAAAAGAAAAAAGGCCTTTGAGATCCCTTAGAGAGTTTATGATTCTATGAACTAACTTCACCAACTGATGGATTTCTTTTTGGAAGTCACTGGAAACAACAAGTGGGTGATATTATAAGCAAGTGACACTGCATTTTTACTGGTACAATGGAGTGGGTAGACAACAAATGAAATTCTAGCTAACTTCTGGATGCTTAACTTCTTTAGCTACTCTATGTCCTATTACTACCTCAGGATCCTGCTCTTTGATTTCAAAGATGGTAGTCTGCTCTTTGATAAATTATTCATTTGTAAGGTGCTAATGATGGTGAAAGTGAGTTCAGTTCAATTCAGAAAGGCCTATCGTACACTTAATATGCACAGAACACTGTGTTCAGAACTGGGGGTTAATCTGTTACCCCTCTCAGGGCTGTTTGCTTTTGAATGAGGAAGGGCCTGTTGGAGGCATAGCCATAAACAGTAGCAGTGTGGTTCTGTAGAGAGTTCTTATAAGGGATCACAGGACTCATGGCTCTGCCACTGATTCACTCTGTGTGTGACTTAAGGCAGATTGATGACCCCTCAAATCCTCCCAGCTCTATATCATAAGGTTCTGTGACCTTCTAGCTAGCGTCTCTCTGTCCATACCCATAAAATAAGGCATCTTGACTAGATGATCTCCAAAGACTGTTCCAACTCTAATAAATCTGTGTTTTGTGTTCTAACATTCTGTAGCCTAAGGTTTGATCCAACTCTAACATTTTATGATTTAAGTTATTTTCATTGAAATAAAGTAAAAGCCAGGACCTTTTGAGATCTCCCCAGTCTCTCATTGATGTGCGCTCACTGGTAGAGGTACATGACCTGATTCTGTACATGAAAGAATTCTCTTTCATTTAGTATCGTAAGGAGAGAAGGAAGGGAAAGAAACAATCACAAGTCCAGAGACCCGAGTTCAAATTATAATTGTTGTTGTTCAGTTGTCTTGGTCATGTCTGACATCCCATTTGGAGTCTTCTTAGCAAAGATACTGGAGTGGTTTGCCGTTTCCTTCTCCAGCTCATTCTATAGATGAGGAAACTGAGGCAAACAGGATTAAGTGACTTGTTCAGGGTCACTCAGCTAGTGAGTTATCTTAGACTTGATTTGAACTCAAGTCTTCCAGATTCCAGGCCTGGTGCTCTATCCACTGTGCCACATAGCTCACATTTTTATAGCACTTAAAGGTGCTATGAGGTAGACAGTGGTTCGTATGAATGTTCTCATTCTTATTTTAAAGGTGGGGAAATTGAGACTGAAAGAGGTTTGAATGGTTTGCTCAGGGTCACACAGTATTTTCAGACTCAGGCCTCCCAACACCCAACTCCACTCTTCTTTTTCCCTGAACTGGTGAGTAAGCTGTCTCTTTCCTTCTCTGGGCCTCAGTTTCCTCCTCTGAAAAATGAAAGGATGGGCTAGAAGGTTTCTAAGGACACTGCCAAAGTTATCACTATGCTTCTTTCCACCATCTTCAGAACAAAAGCAAATAGACTTTTTGGGTACTTCACGCTGGTGGCTAATTTTATAAGAACATGGTTGTTGATTCATTAATTGTAATAGTTCAAAGCACATATAATTTGTAACTAAGCCAATTTCTTTAAGTGCCTCCCATCCCCCCACTTTTGGGAGACTTTTAGGGGATGAGTTGGGGTACAGTGTCATGTACTGAAGTCCTTGAGAGTGGAGGGGACCTGGAGAATGCATGTGGCTCAGTCTCTTACCTGAAGGAATTTCTAATGGATAAAAATGAAAAAGCCAAAGGCCATTTCATCCGATCTCTTGCTCTGTTCAAGATCAATGGACTGATGATCATCATTCTCTTCCTGAAGATAGTAACAACTCACTCTAATATAATCCTTTAATGTTAATAAAAGAGCTTTACTTCTGTGAGGTTGGTAATACAAGTATTTTCCTCCTGGTTTTACAGATGAGCAAGTGAAGCCTTGGGGAGACTAAATGATTTCCCACAATCACTTTGTAAGCCTTTGAGTTAGCATTTGTTAAGTGCCTATTGTGTGCCAGGCACTGTGTTACATGGTTTATCAGCATTACCTCATTTGATCCTCACAACTAACCCTATGATA